ATACAAGGCCCTTTAGGTGGGTGAGACCTTGCAACTTTGGGAATAAGAAGAATGTCATTGGCTAAAGTGGTGAGAGAGTGAGTAGGAGACTAAGTCAAAGAAGGCTGGAGATGGATCCTTAGATATTTTAAGAGTATGGGAGTTCACATTTTATTTTGATTACTTTAGAAAGGTAATGGGATCATTTAGAAAAGGCAGTGACAGGAAATCATTCACATGTAATAAAGATCATGTGGCTACTATGTAGGTAATGAAAGAGAGTGATTGGCAAGACTAAAAATTAAAAATCCTCTCTACCTGTTGATCCCCTGGTGCTAATCACTTATAAAAAGTTGGTAATATCCATAATCACACATAAATATATATTCACAGAGATGTGTATAAGATTGGTATGTGTGTGTATTTTTAAAAACTATGAGCTGAAGTATTGTCCTTTCCACTTTGACCTTCCATTAATTGTTCTGTCATTTATCTTTCATTTGTTTTACTGACTTTGTAAATGTATTTACTTTTGTTATGTAATATTTGAAACATAAAAATATATGTGGCATATATTAAATTGTGAAGCATAGTATAATAAAATCAGTACCCGTGAACTCACCAACCAACTTAGGAAACAATATTTTCCATATGTTTTTCCCTTGTTGAAACCTCTCCCTAACCAATCCCTATGCCTCCCTACCAGAGACAGCTACTACTAACTTCTGTTCTTCATTTCCTTGACTTTTCTAATAATTTCTTCACCTCCAGAAAAGATGTTGTTTACTTCACCTTTTTAAAATCTTTCTTTAAAATGGTCCCTTATTGTATGTAGTCTTCTGCGACTTGCTTTATTCACTGCCATATTCTAAGGCTTGTCCTGCTTCATTCCATGAACATTTAAGTGTTGGCTCTGTGCCACATATTGTATACTTTTCTTCTGCCTGCAATACTTTACCCTTTTCTCCGTTTCCTTTTCAGCAATTATTTGATATAATGTAGTGAGTTGTTAATCTCCTAGATCAGGATTCAAATACTGTTTTTGCCATTTATTTGGTCTGTGATATTGGACATGTGAACCTCGAAACCTCAAGTTTGTAATGAATAAGAGAGTGAATACATGAAAAATACATAGCATAAAACCTAGAACATAGAAAGAATTGAAATATTTAAATATTTATAATACATATTTTATGTATATACACATATAATAATCACTGTGTACCAGGCATTATTTCAGGTGTGTGATACATCACTGAACAAAAAAAGACAAAATTTTTCTTTTTCTTTTTATCTTTTGGCCACACTGGGCTGCTTGCCAGATCTTAGTTCCTTGACCAGGGATTGAACCTGGACCTTCGGCAGTGAAAGCATGGAGTCCTAACCTCTCGACTGCCAGGGAATTCCCAAAATTTGTTTTTCTAGAGCCTCAAACCTAATGCAGACATTGGACATTAATTATTGGACATTAAATATAAATATAAGGAATAACTATATTATAATGTAGAAGATGGTAATGCTATGGGGCAGAAATTGCAGAGTTGGGTGGCTGCAGTACAGTTCTAAATAGGGTGATCAAGTTAGATCTCTTTCAGGAGCAAAAGTTGAAGAGGTGAAAGATTTATCCATACCAGTATCTGGGGAAGGAGCACTCCAGACAGAAGAAATAATCATACAAAGCCTAAGGCAGGGGCTTCCCTGGTGGGGCAGTGGTTGAGAGTCCGCCTGCCGATGCAGGGGACACGGGTTCCTGCCCCGGTCCAGGAAGATCCCACATGCCGCGGAGCGGCTGGGCCCATGAGCCATTGGCCGCTGAGCCTGCGCGTCCGGAGCCTGTGCTCCGCAACGGCAGAGGCCACAGCAGTGAGAGGCCCGCGTACCGCAAAAAAAAAAAAAAAAAAACCTAAGGCAGAATTGTGCTTGGTGTGTTAAGGAATGGCAGGGGAACAGGTGTGGCTAGCCCAGGTAGGGGAGACTAATGAAAATAATAATAGAAGATAATGGGGGCAGCTCAAATAAATGTCACCTAACAATGATCATAATTCCATCAAATCTCAGCTGAGATGTCACTCAGATGTCAATGTTGTCAGATTTCCTAAACATGTTCTCTTGTTACATGCACTTAAAAATTATTTCAATTAAGCAGTATAAAAAACATTTAAAAAGCATGCAAAATATAAGCGTATGGCACGGTGATTTATTACCCTTCCCCAGACCAAATATTAGAATATTGAGAGTGCCTCAGAAACCATTTGAACCCTTCTCAATCATTCACCTAAAAACATAGTCACTATATTAACTTTTAACAGTATTTTTGGTTTTGCATGTGTTTGATACTTATCCACATGAAATCATCCAATACATATTCTTTTATGTTTTCCTCCTTTCCTTGGACAACTATGTTGCTTCAGGAGGCTATGTTGCTCTTTTATTTTCATCGCTGTATGTTGTTCTATAATTTATTCATTCATTCTACCATTGATAGTCAGTTGGGTTGTTCACAGTTTTCAGCTATAAGTAATGCTTCTATGGAGATTTGTGGGCACATTGTACTTTTGCATGTATTTTTGTTAATTTATGTTTGATTAGTCTGTCACTCACTAGTCTAGCAACTCAATGAAGGCAAAGATGTTTGTGTTTGCCTTTCCCCTTTGTATTTCCTAGATTAGTATTTGGCATGCAGTAGAGGGTAATTAATATTTTTAATTAGTTAACTAATAAAACAAATGTGAGAGATTTGTTCTCAGTATTTCAGCTTGAAGTTTTGAAGTATTTTTCAATAGAAACATTTTTCAAGTGCAGGTTTTACTGCACCGGTTTTCTTATTGTACTTTTATTAGTTTTGCTGTATGGGTATGCGTATGTATGTATTTGCTGACCTAAATAACAATATAGACATTTCTAAAAGATACACATATCCCAATATTCATAAAACCAATTGTCTAATATTTTAAGATTAGGTACTCCTGTTATTCAAGGAATTCAAATATATTTGGAACATAACCCATTTGTGAGCTTGATTTCACCGTTAGTACTAGTAATAGTTCTAAGAAGTTTTTCATCCTTGGAAAAGCTTCTGAAAATATTTTGTTTCCTGCTCACAAGATTGTTAATACTTTTTGATCCCTAACTCAAATAAAATAGCAAAGCAGTAAACCAGAAAAAAGTCCCCCCTCAATGGAAAAATATTATACTGCTTTCTGGAATTATCAGACACTTGGAAAATTGAATTTGAGAATACATATAATGATGTAAGAATTTTCAGTTCTCTCTAAAACTTCCTACTGTCTAGAAATGAATAAAGATGAATCGACTTCCTTTATCTCCTTCAAAAGAAAGAAAAGTTGAGATAGTATGTAACCTGTAAAATTACATTGGTCTTACAAAATTTATGGAAAATGTTAAGTTTAGTAACATTTTAATATACTCTGTTCTTTTCTTACCAAACTGTTTCTTCTTGCAAGATTCTGAATTCATAAGTAAATCTTTTGTTAATAAAACTTACAAATTAATGCATATTTAAATATCCCATTTCCATAAAAGTTACAATGAAAATAATTTGTTTTACCTTAGAAATTTAAATTATTAAATTCTATCTAGGGTACATTTCTATGTATCTTCATTTAAATTGGTATAGTATGTTACATTTATTCCTTTTAAATAGTTATAATTATTTCTGGCATAGGCATTTAAGAATACACTTAATGAGAACCAATTATCATCATTAATTTAGTTCCCGATGTTCTCATGCTACTGTACTACAAGCATGTAGAAGTTGTGTATTTGCCAGATGACAGAAATATAAACCTCATATAACTGTAATAGAAACAAAAAAGAACAATATGTGTGAAAATTCACAGTGTGGTGAGTGCATTTCCTTTTTTTCCTTTCCCTCATCCAGAGCCGAATTCGTAGGATGTGGAATGACACGGTCCGAAAGCAGTCAGAGTCTTCCTTCATTACTGGAGATATAAACAGTTCAGCGTCACTCAACAGAGGTAATTAGAAATAATTTTTCATATTCACTCTTTTTTGTGATTACTTTAAGAAGTTCTTAAATGCATTGCTTTATTTTCAACTTCTGGACCTTGTTCCATGTGATAGGAATATTGCAAGGATATAAAACCTGGTTGAGTGTATTCCATTATTCATAAGCCTTTTTATTTTTTCAATCCAGAATTTTCAGGAGATCTTTTCTGAAAGTAAGTTAAAAAGTGAGAAACTTCTTTCTCTAGTCATCTGCCACTGTTATAAACTGGTGAGCTGTCAGGCCTCATTGGAAGCAGTGAAAATGGGCAATTATGTGGCTATATAGTCTGCTAAACATCATAGAGTTCCACATTACCCCACGTATAGAGCAATTTCATAGTCTTTGTGGAAGTAAAATTATACTCTCTAATACATACTTAAAGCAACCTGTGTATTTGGGGAAAAATCCCACCTAATCTTAATATCAAAAAGATGTGTCCAGATAATATTGGATATTTAAAGATACAGAAGAAAAAACCCACTATATATAAATTTTATATATATATAAAATGATTTTTTTGGTGTGTATGTGCTTCTGGTTAAAATGCTTCTGGGGTATCATTTTGATTTTGAAAATGAAGTTCCCTTAATCTACCATTTTGTTTGTGGTTGATCTTTTTATTGCCTCTGTCTCTCTCTTTCTCCCTCTTTTCCCCCTCCCCACTGTGTGTGTGTGTGTGTGTGTGTGTGATTAAAATTAAATTGACTGCAGTAAAAATGAGTCGATATAATGTTTGTGGAGAGCCAGAGTACACTACAGTCTGTATAGGGAAATCTTTAGAATACACTTTTATCTGGGGGGTGGCACTTCTATGAGCACATTCTAATTGCACTGTCCTAAAAGAGACATTTTTTAATGCATATATTCAGTGGTTATTTTTATGATTGACATTGTTATTTTTTTCAGCCTCTAAGCTAGAATTATTTGTTTTTTTAAACCTGTTTCTGAGAGCTTTCTGTTATATTAAATGCTACTTAGAAACAATTTAATAATTATGGTTACAATTAAGGAAGATTCAGATGCTGGTGCTGTTAATTACTTTTACTCAAGTAAGTTGCATCTTATTTATATAAAAGAAGTTACAACAAGTAGTGTCTAAGTTGAATTTGATATAAGGATTCATCCATATTATATTTAATTTTGATTGATTTACATACTTTTATTTGTGGTAGTGATATAGTTAACTATAAGCTAGTAATGATATTAAATTTTCTATATCACTTTTGCTTAAGTTAAAACAGTGAGTGCAAATATTCCTCCAAATCTGAAGAAAATACATTAAAATAAAACAATTACCTTCTTTTATTTTGTTTCATTTTTAGTTTATTTTACATAATATCTCTCAAGTATTCTTCTCATTTTAAGTTTAGTTTTACTGGTTAGCTTGTGAAAATTTAAATATGAATACTTCTAACTTTCTGACATACTTCCTAAACCACAGAGAACAAATTACTTACACATGCCTCCAAAGTTTAGGAACAAATTTGCTTTCATAGTGACAGATTTTTCTTTTTACTTTAAATAATACATAGAAATAATACATAGAAAATTTACAGTATGTTCCTTTAAGAAAACTATCCTTATTAATAATATTTATTATTAGAAGTATCTTGCATCTAATGGTCATAGCAGCCATAGGATAAGTGTCATTTAAACAAAAGATGAGATTTAATGATGCACGGTTTATTTGCCTACTGTGAAGACAGATAAAATATGTAAAATATTTGGTTTAGCATTATGATCTAAATTTATGTAAAGATAGTAAGGTATGCAGCTTTATTAAAAATTATTTTAAATGAATACTTTTTATGACCTTGATTTTTAAGGTCAATCACATTATATAACATTGCTGTGCCCTTTTTAGTTCCTTCTCAGAAAGTTCAACTTGGAATATGTGCTATGAGGATGACTAGGTCAATTTGAAATATATTTAAAGAAAATAATATTTTTTTTTTTTTTTTTTTTTTTCTTGCGTTATGCGGGCCTCTCACTGTTGCGGCCTCTCCCATTTGCGGAGCACAGGCTCCGGACGCGCAGGCTCAGCGGCCATGGCTCACGGGCCCAGCCGCTCCGCGGCACGCGGGATCCTCCCGAAACGGGGCACGAACCCGCGTCCCCTGCATCGGCAGGCGGACTCTCAAGCACTGCGCCACCAGGGAAGCCCCGAAAATAATATTTTATATTGTCTGATTATATGTTTAAATCTGTTTTTTAAATCTTTAGCTTTAAAAGATATTTCTTAAAGTTACTGAAGAAAGGGTATAAAATTTCTTGTGACATCCAATAAGTTACTTTGATGATGGCTTTGGGGAGGGGGTTAAATTGAATTTATGACTTGTATGTTCATGCAGTGATCTTTTCCTTCAGGATATATATTCTTCCTTTCACTCAGTGACTTTAATGGTGGTAGACATCATAGTAATCTTCCTGATCTCCTATATTAATTTCCTAGTTCCCCTAGTCAGAAACTCCTCGTTTTATTCTCATCTCATTATTTTTTATCTTAGATGAGTACAGTATTTTAAAATTTTATTTCTTCATATTATATCTCTGAAGTTAGTCTTTAACTTCCTTCTTTAATCTTGTCTTATTTCCCAGGGTCCTATCCTCCCTGCATTCAGGCGTGTGTATCATATTTAGGTAGGTGGCATCCAAGATTCACCTTTCCAGATAAACAGTTCAGTCACCTCAGCAACATAATTATTCACATCTATTTATTCAAAAATTATATTCCCTATTATTAAAATAAAATGTTAGGCACTGCATTTTTACATCTTCATGTACAGTATTCTAACTTCCCATTCATTCTTAGTTTCTTACAGCTGCATTTTTTTGTTTTAATTCCAACTCCATTTTCCTTTATTTCTAACAGATATATTAAATCTCTTATGTTTGCTTTTAGAGTACTTCTGACCTTTGAAAACTACAAGAAGTTGTCTAAAAATTAGTCCTATTTTCACTTCAGGTTTTCTTTCCTATCCATAACCACTGCTCAATTCATCAAAAGAATAATTATTTTAAAATTCTGTACGTCTTATCACCTATTCTTCCAAACGAGAATCCATCAGTATCATCTTTGGGATTCATTAAGAATAAAGCATCTACCATGCAGTGCAGAAATCTTTCTTAGTGGTTTTTATTTTTTCAAATCATCTCTAATATTCTGTTCTTGAACCAGCTTGTTACATCCTATGTATCAGTTTACCTGTCCAGATTTCCCAATGTGATAAATTTGATTACTATTGGGATTTTACTCCTTGTAATCAAGCAAGACCTTGGAACATTTGTTGATAATTTTCAATTTATGTAATCATTCTTATATATTCTCTTTGGGATTTTGTTATTTGGTCACCTCATCTCTTTAAAAACTTTCATTACGTTGCCCTTTGAATATATTTATGAAAATGTTTTCCAGGTGTTCTCTATACATTTTCAAAAATTTTTCTTCTGCTGACTTGTTTGCTACAATGCTACACACTCATACGAAGCCAGAATTTCTTGAGAGCAGTACCCAATACTCCAGGGTTACCATCAAGTTAACTTCACCGATGTCACTGTATACACAGGTAGAAGGAGCTTTTTGAGAGCCCTAGGGTGATGGTTGATTACAGAGAGTTTCAAGGAAAGTGAACTCTTATCCAAACCCAAGTTTCACAAATCCCACGGAGGGTTTATTCATTTGTTCATTTAAACATATACAATTTGCACATACCTCGAAGTCAGTCCTCAATCCCCAAGCTCCTCCCAGGCCAATAGAACTCTAATCCAAATTTCTGGTAGCCCTAAGTTCCTGATAGTAGTAGAAACGATTTGCAGCTAAGGAAATCTTTTTCACCTGTATCCCCTACCCACAATCTCTGCTAGCCAAACAGTATTCTGAGTGATTTAGATTAGCAATACCTATAAAACTTGAGTTTGATCCAAAAATGAAGCATTTGGGGAGAAATTTCTCTGGTAGTTCAATTAATTGTTAAACATTTCCACTCTTTCTGTAGATTTATGTGGAAATTGGGATTTTTCTGAAATGTGATTTTACTAGGCTTTATCATCATGAATAATATAATTGCATTTCCCACTTTCTTTTTTTTAATAAGTTGAATTGACATCAGAAATTTCAGTTTAAAATCAAGGTTTTCTAGGTAGCTGCTACCAATATGGTATTGCTATATGAATTACCAAAAGGTGGCCCGCTCCCAGCTGTGGATTGCAAAAATGTGCCGCATCTGAGTGGCAGAATTAGCAAAAAGGCATTTCTCCTTCTGCAACAATGACTTGGCCTGTATTGTGGGGTTTTATTTCCCCTACGTCCCATTCTCCATCTTATCAACCTCCCACACAAGTTAATGCAATATAGATTTTTATTCATGGAGATCTGACCAGTAAAGCTATATTTATGTAAGCCATATTTAAGTGTTATATGGCAGAAGACTGTCTAATCTGTAGTTGTTTTTTGCATAGAAGTTTTGAGTAAGGAGTTTTAACCCAGCGACTTTGGGTAAATTGCTTAACTTCTCAGTGTCTATGTAATAGGGATATAAACAGTACCCACTTCAGAGGGACTTTGAGAGGACTGAGTTAATATGTGTTAATTGCTTACAACATGCCAGGGACATAATAAGTACTATTATTATTCTATTCAGAAGTTCACTTATATTTTCTAACAAATGAAAACTGGTCCTTGCCAGTGCTCTCAAGAATGTTATTAAAATTCATCATTCACTACCAAAGGTTTCTTTTCCTTTGTATTTTCTAATAATAGGTGGGAGGAATTAAGTGGTTACCTGAATGTCAAGTAAAAGAAATAATTTACCTAAAATGGTGCTCCCCTTGATGCTAACAAAAGGAAATAAACTCATAAAACTGAATTATCTCTTTTAAATTAGAAATTAAATGCAAATTACATCTGCATAGTTGTACTTTCCATTTTTGATTTGTAACTATATTTTAGCAATGAGGAAATAAAGGTAC